CCCCGTGTTCTTTGTTAAGTGGTCCCCAAACTGCTCCACGTTGTTTGGAGTAGTTAAGGAAGACCAGGTGGAGCTCTGGGACCTGATTTTGAGCATGTGAGTCCATCGGATTGAGATCTCAGTCTGCTTTGAGGTTTTTTTTAATTTACCTATTGTTTTCACCTGATTTGAAGTGTAAGTCAGAGATATGTGTTCACTAAAAGCATAAACATTTCTTTGCAGCCTGTTTCCAACCATTGTGCACCATGCTGAGCCTGGTGTGAGGCTGACATCCTTGCTGTTTGCCAGAGGGACAGACTGTGTCCTTGTAGGGGACAGTAAAGGTCAAGTGACAGTCTACAAGCTCAGGAACTTCAGAGTGTGCAAAAGCACGCAGGTAAAACTCTTGTACATGAAATAGATAAGAACTACCGTGTAATAATAAGTTCAAAACATTGAGCTTGTGTATTTTTCATGTTTTTTATACTGAGAATGCAAACTCAGCCATACAGTGAATAGTAAGTCTTGCCTAGAAGATATAACAGGTATACATTTAGGAAGAAACATCAGTGAAAAAAGGAGAGAGCACATGTTACTGTAGTGTAAACACATAAGAACTTGTAGAGAAGTCAGACTGAGGTTTTTTTCTTTCAGGTGGACACTCTGGATGAAATCATCCAACATGCCACTTCCAGATATTTCTAAGTTTTTGTTCAGAAGTTTCATTGCCTTTTGACTTTTATGTGTTGTACCCTGCGATAAATAAAGTTGTGGATCTTTGAATTGTACTTCTTTTTCATTTTTAACTGAATGTGATAAGCAAAAAGATGACGGGGAAACCTCACTTTCAATGTGTCTTACAAGTCATTAACCAGCAAGCACATCCTGGATAATCCTGGATGATCCTGGTTCCTGGATAATTGTTTCTCTAATAATTACTATAATATATAAAATAAACTTCATGTTGATTTCAGCATGGCCTGAAACTAGTGACAGAGCCCCTAAAGTCATCAGGAAGGTGCTTATTGAGGTTGTTACAGTATCAGAAAAATTAGGGCAAGTTTCACTCGGATGCCTCTTTGAAACAAGTGGTATCGCCCCCTGATGGCCATTAAAGGGAGGCTTAAGCTCCCAGACCTCTAATGTAAAGACATTAGAGGTCTGGAAGCTACTATATGTCCATCTTCTATATACAGTCTATGGAAGGAGCATAAGCCTTTCCTAAAATTTTGTTCAATATAAAATTCAACATAAAAGCTGAATATAATACAAGAAAGTACCACTATTAAACAAAATAGTTTAAAACATCATCAGAATATTTTTAATGAGTGTTGTTTCATTATATCTAACCATGAAATGTTAGAGGCGGAAACTGAACCACTTCCTCTTTGTTATTGTATTTGGCCTGTATGAGCTGGGGCTAAGATTTCAGACACAGCAACTGTTCCCAGCAGGCCAAAGACTGAAAGATGTAACTGACAGACGAGGAAGATCTGTTATATTTTTACCCCACTGTGATCTGTGGCCGTAAGGTCACATATCCTCACATCATGTTGCTTAAGTCAGCTCCTCTCTACTTATATTAAAACAGTGAGTAACTACAGGGAGCTGAAGAATTAATCCCATAATGATAGGTCACAGACAGAGCCTGTGATTCTGGACGAGATAGAAGCATGAAAGACTGTGGAAAATGGCAGAAGGCTTTTGTTTGTGGAGGGAAAAAGGATTTGAGCTTGCATTGTGGCACAGCAGGAAGTGAACCTGGATTTGAAAGTAATGTGACCATGTTGCTTTCTGACGGCAGACAGATTGAAACTCACTGTGGGCATCTTTTTACTCAGTTTACGTGCCTCCGAACCTTTTATAGATACTGTGCAAAGTATCATTTAAGTTTGCTTTTCTTTCTAAAATATTTTTGTGTTGTAATTAGGATTTACTTATATTACCTATTTTTTTCTTTTAACAATAAAAACAGAAATAATTGTAATTTCATTCAATCTAAATGGGAGGCAAAGATAAAAGCAGTTTGATGGCAAGAAGAACAGTTACATATTGATAAGTCCTGAAGAAACATAGCAGCCTTTCACATGCAATGTTTTGTGACATTAGCAAACAGTAAGGTGCACCATACAGTCACCGACCACTGCATTAGGTACACTTCTTCAGTTGCTCATTGACACAAATATCTAATCAGCCAATTACATGATAACAACTCAGTGTATTTAGACGCGTTAAAGACATCCTGTTGAAGTTGAAGCATCAGAATTGGAAAGAAAGGTGATTTAAGTGACTTTGAACTTCTCATAGTTGTTCACGGCAGAAGGACTTGTGTTTCAGAAGGCTCTGAGTATTTCAGAAGCTGAAGCTGACCAACTAGGATTTTTCCACACATTCGTCTATAGAAGGGGTCTCCAATTTAAATGAGTTGTGGGCCACTGCTGGCACTGTCATCTCACTGAAGGGCCACTTTAGTGTTCAAATAGTACAAAAACAAACAAACAAACAAGAAAACACCCACAAACATTTCCAAAAATTTAGTGTTTTGTTTGTTTGTTTGTTTTGGGGGTTTTTATGTTCAATATAATTACTTTTTCTGGGATTAATTAAGTAAATCTGATTAATAAATGTCACATTGGGTGGCATTTTAAACTATTATCCTGGTTTTGACTTTAAAGACTTCTTTTGATATAATAGCACAAAAACAAACAAACAAGAAAACACCCACATATATTTCCCAAAATGTAGTGGTTTTTTGTTTGTTTGTTTGTTTGTTTGTTTGTTTGTTTGTTTTTGGGGGGGGGGGGGGTTACACTTTTTTTTTTACATGAGCTCGACAAAATGAGCCAGAAGATTGGAAAAATGTTGCTTTGTCTGACGAGTCTCCATTTCTGCTGTCACATTCAGATGGTTAGGGTCAGAACAACATGAAAGCAAGGAGCCATCGTGTCTTGTATCGGCAGTTAAGGCTGCTGCTGGTTGTGTTATGGTGTGTCATATTCTCTTGCCACACTTTGGGCCTCTTAGTATCAGCTGAACATCATCATCAAGCATCACAATTTAGTGGTGGGCGTTATGGACGGCCTTTGGGGGTCCAGAACTGTCCAAGAAGATCACTGTGCCCACTAATCAGAATTTTAAGCATGACCCTACCGGAAGTAGTGATGAGCACATTCTGCGCTCACAACGGTCAACGGCCCCGGTGTTTGGTGAGTTCATCAATCCACGAGAGAAAGTGTCTCTGTTTCCTGCTGTAAGATATGTGTTTTTGCACGTTTACTGCTGTGGCTACAGTGCACTATCCATGTATGAGTGTATCACTGTATGATGCATGGTGTGGCTTGAAGTGGCTAGTTTGTCCTTCGGTTTGTTGTGTAGCCTGTAAAGGTGGTCCACTGTATGCTTAGTACGCCTTTAGCACCGAGTCCTGTACTAATGTGTAAAATGTAAATTTAACGGCTCTTACATGCATTTTAGTTATAACCTCTGTGTTTTTTTACAGCATCTCTGGCTGTGTATTATTTTATGGCACAGCCAGTTTTAAATTGAACTCTATTTTCTTCGGCAATATTGCCTACATTGATCGTTGCGCCATTGCGGCTATGACACGTTGCACAACGGCGCCGTGGCTTAGTTGGTTAAAGCGCCTGTCTAGTAAACAGGAGATCCTGGGTTCGAATCCCAGCGGTGCCTTTTCGGCGCGCCAGGAGAAAGCTTCATGCTGCAGTCGTGTCATTAAAGCACCTCTTTGTTAACAAACGCAGAGAGCTGATGTCAGGGAGCATGGAGAGCTTATGAAACAGTTTAATTCACCAGAATACCAAATCATGTGATTATAGCTGGTTTTGGAAAATATTAACATTCCCACAAATCATCTGTAGGTCCATAAAAAGAAGAAATATCCAGTGACTGTTGATGTCAGAGGTCAAAGGAGAATGGCCAACTGCTTTGAGCTGATAGGTAGGCAAGAGTAATTTAAATTACTACTCACTACAATCAAGACATGCAGAAAAGTATCTCTGAACACACAACATGTTGAACCTTGAAGCAGATGAGCTACACCAGCTGAAGATCACTACCGGTGCCACTCCTGTCAGCGGAGTGTAGGAAACTGAGGCTAAAATTCCCATAAGCTCACTGTGATTGAGCGACAGGAGACTGACAAAATGTTATGGCTCAGGTTGATGGTGATGGTGTAACAGTAGGGGATATTTTCCTAGAGCACTTTGGGCCACTTCGTACCAACCATGCTTTACTGTAATGTCAGCATACTTGAATATTGTTCCCGACTTGATCCCTCATAAAGGGATGGACCTGGCTGAAATAATCTCAAACTGATTCCCTGAACATAACAGTGAGTTCATGGTGTCCACCGTCACCAGTCGCATCATGGATTAACATGGATTACAACCCACTTTACCTGGGTTGGGATCCATTAAAGTGGGTTGGAATCCGTCCTTTTTTAACCAAGGATTTAAATCCTTGGTTTTTAACCAAGGATTTAAATCCTTGGTTAATAAAAGAATCAATCTCTTCTTCAAAGAGTGATCTGGCCAAGAGGAGAACATAGACTGTAACAACAATCATACACAAATACAGCCGACACCTCGTACTAGCATGTGAACACGCAATAACATAGCAAGTACATTATGAAGGTTTTTTTTTTTTTCAAATGAGATGTCTGCTTATATGCTGTATTTTTATGAACTACCAGCAGTTCGGTTCAGCTCCTCATTCCAATCATTTAACATTATTCCCTGAATGAACACCATCACTACCAGTGTGTATTACACAAAAGCTTATACGGTTCTAATAAATATATTATCCATTTTAAACTGCATTTATTTATTTATTTTTCTGTTCCTGAGGGAAAAAAAACAACTCCAAAATAAGATGCTGTTACACCCAGAGTATTTTGTGTGTCGCTGGTCCGCGTAGGTCTGCTTGCAGACCCCTGTTTGAAACGACAGAGGGCGTGCATGTCATCGATCGGCAGAGGGGTTAGTGTGAGTGAGAGAGTGATTCTGAGACACTCAGGGGGACCTGGCTGCTGCTGCTGCCGCCGTGCTGCCCGCTCCTGCTGAGGGAAGAGGAGGAAACATGAGCTCCAGGAAAGGTGCGTATAACTCATCCTCCAACTTAGCTACGCTAACCCACTCCTGGTGGCGGAAGTTATGGGTGTACGTAGCCCTTGAGGGTATGCTAAACGCCATCCAGCCTCGTTGATGATGTGTGATTGTTCTCTCTCCCCCACCGCCACCTTTCCTCCTACACCCTTCCCCGGACTCGTCTGTGCCTGTGAATGAATGTAACCTCGGACCGGCAGTGATGGCCATCCAGGCTAGAAAGAGGAGGCCGAAGGGGAAGAAGGATAAAGCGGGTCACCATCGCAGGTAAGCGGGGCGGAAGCGGGGAAGTGTGGACGTGAAGTGTTTGTTTACTGACAGCGGGTCCCTCTCTGTGTGACACAAGCGCTGCTGCCGGTGCGTCGGCGGTATGACCGTGGACATATGGCACGGGCTGGTATTTTCATCTACAGGCGGGGTCCCGTGGAGTGTTTCGAGTTACCACTTACATTATATGTGGACGGTGTGGTCCCCGGGTCTCCACCTGATTCCCCCAAAACGACTGGGTCCTGCACCGCTTACAGCCTGCACATACTCGTGTAGTTTATTTTGCATGCCTGAGCTTCCAGCACAGATGGTTTCTTGGTAGATTTTTTTAAAACTAGGGTTTCAAAGCGAGGATTGACAGATGTCACGGCTCAATTCCGTTTTATTTTTTAGCGATGGCAGCACCAGACTGGCACGGAGTAAACGCCCACTTACATCGCCTAACCCGTGTGGGGAGTCTCTGGCATGGTGTTATGTAACTTTTCTTGGCTCTCCCGGTGCGTTGTTTCCTGGTTTTGCCAGGCAGCTTTACGGTATGGGTGCACGCGCAGTTCGGCGTGATTTTGCCGGCGTGAGTAGTTGCAGCCGAGGCTGGCGTGCCAGCAGCGCAGTGGCTGCGTAAAGTGCATGTGAATTGGAGTGGAGAGAGTGGGGGGCTTTCTTCATGGCGTGACGCTATTGGAGCGACGTCACCAGCAGCCGAAGAAGGCATCAATTAGGTGATACCAACGGTGCAGACACCCCAGGGTGGCTGCTGGTGGCTGGAATGTGCTGGAATGTCCCAAACACCTGGACAGTCATAGTGAAACCAGATGTGCGCAAAAATAGACGTTTATAAAGGCAGATGTTCCAAGAAAATAGAGAACAGACTCCATAATTGTCTTGTAAATAAAACATGACTCATGCAATGGCCCTACAGGTGTCCTGTAATGGATGCTGGCTCGCCTTTAGCCCTTTAAATGCTGCAATGGTGAAAGGACCTAAACTACCCCCCCCCATCCATACACACACACACACAACAACAACAACAACAAAAACCAACAAAAAACCCCTGAAAAGAACCCCTCCACTCTGTAGCTAGCATTGTAGCTAGCATTTTTCTTTGGAGGCTAATCAACAATAATATTCCTCAAAATTCAGTAGATCCCCCCCCCCCCAAATATAAGAACATAAAAGCAGTATATTACAACATTGAGATACTGCAACAACAAAATATTTGCTCAATAAACTGCTCAGACAATGCATTAGTTATTAAAAAATATTTGGCTATTATCAGCTCACTAACAGATGTGACAGCAGTTGTTTGTTTTAATGTAATGCGTTCCCCTCAAAAATACCTTCATTATGTGATATAAATTTCTAAATTAGTTACTTTTATGTTTCTAAATGAATTTCTAAACGAACTACACTTTTATGGCATTGATATCTGGAAGAAACACAATATATAAACAAACTATTTATTTTAAAAAAAGAATTTAGCTGAGTTCCTTTACACTCTGACCTGTAGAATATCCCTTTAGAGATGCTGCAGTTATGTAATACTTTCAATACTTGGCGATCAAGAAACCCTGACGCTTGATTAAATGTGGTTAATTTTTGATCACACTGTGTGAAGTGTTAAGTGTGCCTCAAACATGTTTTGGCACATCTGTGCTTCAGTTTATGGTTACATATCAGATTACGCAGGTGCCAGTTCCTGAATCTGGCGTGCTATTATTGACTGATTTACTGCCAGCGCTTCTTTATTAAACTTTAGTTGTAAAAGTGTGAAAAGCATGTATTTTTACATGCTTACAGTAGGTTTTTGCATTTCTGGTCATTTCTGATTTTAAAAAAAGCTGACATGGTGAAATTATTTTCACTAATGTAGTTTATCATACAGGTCATCAGTTCCACAGTTTATATTCTCTATCAGGGTGAATGATTGATAACAAGCTTTATAAAATATAGAACAGTTTTGACAGTATACACTGCAGCTTGATGATGGTGTAGAGCAGCACATTCCTTTAGTACAACAGCCAAAAAAGAAAAAAAATGTATGAGCACAACAGCCTAAATAACAGGAAATGGCACAAAGTGCTTTGCATTTGATATCATCAGATTGCACTATACAGGAATATATTAGAGGAACAAAGAGTCAATAGGGAAATAAACACTGGGAATTACATGGCAAGGATAAACATAGGAATAAAATAAACATGGACTTTACACACCATTTAAAAAAAACTTTGAACGAACTAAAAGCAAGGATTAAAAAACCATGAGTCTTTAAATTCAGATTATTATAGATATGATTTGAAATGGGATATTATTCCAAAGTCTGGAGGCAGAATGTGTTATAAGCAGATCAGAAATGTAATGTGGGGCTAACCCATTAATGGCTTAAAAAACAAAGAGTAAAAATGTAGAAACACCTCTTTTTTTCACTAGTAATCAGCGAGCCAGAAAAGATGTTCTGCATTATAGTTGTTCAGTCGAGAAATAATAAATGCATGGATTATTGTGCTGAGGTCTACTGGGGATAACAATGACTTTACTTTTGCAATATATCTAAGATGGTAAAAGCTGCCTTTCACAGCCTTTTTTCTCTTGTTTATTAAAATTCAATAAACTGTCAATAAAACACGTAGATCTGTAAGCTGATTTTGAAAATTAGCACACAGAAGACCAAGAGTAGAGCTGATACTGGAAACTAAGCTGGTCCAAAAATGATCACTTCACTTTTCTTATCATTCATCTGAATGATATTCATTGGCATCTAGGATCTGATGTTCTCCACACAGCTGAACAGGTTCTTCAACCAACCATTCTTTGTGAAACGAGTAGGTAAGGTTGTGTGTCATCTGCATAACAGCAAGATGCAGTCTTATATTTTTTAAAAATCGAGCCGAGGGAAAGCATGTGTAAATAAGAGAGGTCCCATAGTGGAGCCTGTGCGGATGTAATAGGGTACTGGAGCAGAGGTAGATGAGCAATTTCCTATCTTGACTGACAAGCTTCTGTCTCTTAAATAAGAGCTAAATTGTTTTATAAGATAAAAACTAAACGAAAGAAGGAGCTCTGTTAAAAAAAATTGAGCTAATTAAGTACAAATGTTAATAAAAAGAGCAAGATTACCATAATTATTAATAAAATGAGAACAGATTTTGCTAAAGGAAAATATTTGAAAGCGAAATAAAACAAGGAAATATTAGAAGGTATTAAAGTGAGTCAGCAAACAAAGTGTCAGAGTGAAATTAAAATATATAAATGTAAACTGTTTGATCCCTGACGTCTGTCAGAAGCAGTTATGTCTTTATCTCACTGTCTGTGTCTCTTGATCTTGTGCTCTTTCTCTCACGTGGTGTTTTTAAAAAAATAGGTCACACATGCATGCATCCATTTATTCATACAACCATTTATCCATCCCTGTAATGAGATGCTTATTCAGGTCAGGGTCACAGTTGAATCAAAGTAAGCTCATACACAGACTCTCAAGCACAATCACAGTCTCTCTCTCGGTTTCTCTTTGGTAGATTTACACTCCTGTTTAAATGGCGTTTTCATGGACTTTTATCCACATCCATTCCCATCTTCTGCCTTCTGCCGTTTGAGATGGGCTTTTCTGTTTAGAAACCACAACAACTCACATACACTCACAAACACACCTTTTATCTTGAGCCTTAATAACGTAGATAAATAGTAAAATTTCATTTGTGCTACTTTTATGTAAGCAGTGCGTTGTCACTTGACTTTGATGTCTTTGAAATTTAAGCAGATACAGCGTCCTTTGTTTGAACTAATTCAAGTGGAAACATAAGCAAGGACAGGAAGGTTTGTATAAAAAGGACCCAGCGGTGAGGTTACGAGGTGTTTATGGTTGTACCAAATTTGAAACTGAGACCAAGTATTCAGCACAGTGATCCACAATCAGGGCAGCATGGTGTTTAACACTGTTACCTTACAGCAAGAAGGCCCTGATGTTTAAATCTGCCATCTGGCCTTTCTGTGTGGAGCTTGCATGTTCTCCCCGGATACTCTGGCTTCCTCTCACAGTCCAAAGACATAGAGTTAGGTTAATTGGTGATTCTTAATTGCCAACAGGTGTGAATATGAGTGTGAATCCTCTCTGTCTTATTTTTGTGACAGAGGGGTGACCTGTCCAGGGTGTACTCCGCCTCTCAGCCTATGGCAGCTTGGATAGACTACTACTGTTTCCGTCTAGCCGCTGGTGGGGTTTTCTCTGTATCAGTCTGTGTCCTTAAGAGAAACATGACACTTTCAAGAAATAGATGTCTGGGTTATCCTGTTAAGTTGTCTGTCTCTCTGTCCGTTTAACACTGCCTGTTAACATTGCGAATGAGCAAGACTGATAACATTTACTGCTTATCTCCCACATTAACCTTATCATTTTATTATTAGCCATAGCTGCTAGCTGCTACCTTAATGATAACAGACAGCTGGTGTGGCTACAGGGTCACTGCTATTAGTGTTGTTAACGCCAACTTCTTCAGCTGCTAGTGAGATGAGGGGCCGTGTGTCTCCCTCTCTGGTGGTAAAAAGAGTAAAAAGGGACAAATATACTTATAATCAAAAGAGTGTTAATTATTATTATTTATTATTATTGACATAAGTATTTGTAGGGTCCCTTAACGGCTGCACTGCAACGTTTTACAGCATTTATTATGAGATTATGAGATGTATTCATGCATTTTCTTTGTGTGTTTCACTTGATGCACAGGAGTGTTTTTTGCACTTTCCACAGATCAGTTATCAGTTATAAGGCAAGGCTTAACCTTTTTTTTTTACTATCACAGTCTGTGGGGCAGTATGAGTTAGCCGTCTTTATTTATTTATTATTTTTGGCAGTCATAATCGCTGGCAAATCAGATGCAAAGTCGACCCTTTCTGTATCTTAGCCTTATAATATGCAGACTGAAATAAGTAGTAGAATCATTGTCAGTCTTCTTAAATAAATTAATGTTGGTCTTAAAGATGTTTGTGATCAAATACCTGCAAAA